ATAATATAGGCCTATGGTAAATATAAATAAATAAAAAAGGAGTAATCATTTTCCACAAAACAAATATTTCCTGTAGTGAAAGAATGCTCATTCATCAATGCAAAAGCAAATATACCAACATAAGAAAATATACTAAGCTCCAAAAGCAACCATAAGTTACTTATTTAGCAGTAGTACCAACATAAATGTGCAATGCCAATGAGGTAGTGCAATGGAAAAGGTGATGGTCAAACGCACCTCCATATATCACATATTATTTTCACTCTCCTTCTCCAGTGGAGTCTCTTTTTCAGCCCACTCACATGGATTAAATGATACAATGATCCCATTTCCATGTATTCAGTCACCATGGACAGCCGAAGAGGCTTTGTGCAGGCACCAAGGAATAAAATAATTGCAAAAAGATGTATTATTTTCTTCATATCACTACACTATAATTATTTCTGATATGAACATCAAAAGAAAAAAATTGAGTGTTTTTTCCATTCACAAATCCTATAGTGTAAAGTGTAAACATAATATGGCAGAGTTAAGTTGATCAAACAAATGCAGGGCATTACCATTTGGGTAGCGTAGATGGCTGTGTATGAAAAGAAGAAAAGAAAAGAAAAGAAAAGAAAAAGTCAATTGCATGGAAAAGAACAAAGTGGAGGAGGGGAAATATGAGAAGCTACAATTGCCAATAGATCAATTAAGACAAACCTTAGAATAGATATCTCATTGTAAAAGTCTTCGATGTTCTCAACAGTTAAATCTTGTTCAAGAAAAACTTTAATGGCAACATCTGTCCCATTCCAAATGCCACGAAAAACTTCTCCAAAAAAACCCTAGAAGATTCAAAAAAAAATATTTCTGAAAGTCAAGTACCTGACACACGGGTGGATAAGAATCTTGTGTTTCATAAATTGTTTTTTAACCCCTTGATTTTTAGAAGCTAAAGTTCTTTCCTCCCCTTCAAGTTTTTTTCTATTTTTATTTTTTATTTTTTAAAAAGAGATCATTAAGAGTTGTATAAAAAAAACACCAGATCAAAACCTTAAATGATTATAGTCTCATTGGCAAAGCTAAAACCAAACTTTGACTAATTACAGGGCCATTTTATAAAAAAAAAAATTTAGATCTTAGATTTGGGGAGGGATTTGTTGGGATTTTTTTGGGACTCGAAAGAATTTCAATGTGGTGGGTTTCATAGAAGCTATGGATTAATGCAAATATAGATAGGTATGCATGAAGGTGGATAGATGGATCAACATATGCTCATTGTGTAATTGAGGGTTTCTATGCTATACAACCCAGGGAAAGTAGTTTACACAAACTCTCTCTGTATGTATATATGATTTTGTCTCCATAAAAGAATATTGTTTCTTCAATAAACTCTCTGTTCTTAGCTTATCATTTATACATTGATTAGGTTCTTTAATCACCAAACCAAATCTTCATCAACTGAATCAGAACTCTCTATTATTTGTTTCTTACTACCAAAAAATTTATCAACAACTCCGATTGAGATTAAATAATTTTTTTTCCTACTTTTCGCTTCTTTTTCCTTTTTTCAAATCCATAACTATAACTATACAATAAAAAAATCCACACAAATTCACAATCCACAATGTTTTCAGAAATTAGAGCACAACAAGAATTATAGATTTTCCATTAAAGCACATAAATTAGAGACTATTCCAATTAGGAACACAAAAAATACAATTAGGGCAAACTATATTCTTCCATTGAAATTTGTGTGTGTGTAGGAGAGAGAGAGAGAGAGAGAAAGAGAGAAATGAAGAGTTTTAGAGAGAAACAGAGAGACGGTGGAGCTCACCTTAGTAGACGATGGTGCAGATGGTGGTGGCAGTGAAGCTTCGAAATCGAAACCGATCTGAATCTCTGCGAATGATAGGCATTTAGAGAGAGAGAGAGAGCTCACCTACCTTGTCGGTGCAGATGGTGGTGGCAGTAGACTTCAAAATCGAAATCAAAATCAGAGATTCAAATGAAATCGAAATCAAAGAAGGTGTGAGGACTCAGATTCAAAATAAGTTTCGAAATTGAGAGAGAGAATCACCGAAACATAAATTTCGAAATTGAAATCGAGAGAGATGAATCGATAAACAGATTCATTGAGAGATATTCAAAATCGAGACATTCTGCTTAGAAAATCAAAATCGAAATTAGGGCATTCTGTTTAGAGAGAGATGAATCGATAAATAGATGAGTAAGAGATTCGAAATTTTAACGAAGGCATTCTCCTGGAAGAGATTAGGGCATCTATTTAGAGAGAGAAAGCGAACGAGAGACTGATGAGTGAACGAATTCACCAGCTTGCCCATATAGGGGAGAGGACATTTGAAGGCGCTTCTAAAACGCCTTCAAATATTGAAACGGTGCCGTTTCAATATTAAAAAAAAACGATGTTTAAAAAACGTCGTTAAATATGACAAAATGTGACGTTTTATAAAATGCCGTTAAATAAACATCATCAAAACTCACCATTCCTGTAGTGTACATGACATGACACTCAACTATTTCACATATCACATAAGAACATCATTTTTTATTGATTTAATATGTACATAATGTTTGTTGTTTGTTTTTCAGATTATAAAAATTGTTGAGGTATTTTTTTTTTATAATCATATTAACCAATAAAATTTATGTTAAAAATGACAATCTAAAAAATTTTACACTAAGATCCTATTTATATAACCAAAAAAATTTATGAAACGAACCAGATCAATCAATTCATTCAATTGGCATGCACCCCTAATTTCTAGGATGTATGTAAAAGGGTCTCCTTAAATTTTTAAATTTTTTTTATTGACCCTCAATATTTCTAAATCTGTATAACATGGCACTCAATGATTTCACATATTACAAAATAACATCAATTTCTATTGGTTTGATATGTAAATAACATTCACTACAGGAAAAAAGGGGTTTAGGCGGCGTTTTTTTAATGGCACATTTTTAAATGCCGCTTTTTCTAATATTTAACGACGTTTTGTAAAACGTCGCATATTTATTTAACAAAACGACACCGTTTTATAATAAGAGGCATTTAAAAACGCCTCCAAATGCGTTGTACCTCACGCGCTTGGTCCCCCTTCTTTTCAAACCCTAATTTTGAATTTGAGACTCAGCTAAGACCCAAATCTCGAGCGCTCTCTCTCTCTCTTTCTCTATAAATCTCAGAGCAATTTTGAAGCTCCACTACTTGTTCCTTCTCCGAGCGAGGTAGCGAGCACCAATGAAGGTGAGGTCCACTGTTTCTCTTTCTCTCTCTCAACCCTCTCTAAACCCTTATCAGAACGATTCAGATATTCAGCTCAGTGATTTCATCGCAGAGATTCAGAGCGATTTCATCGCACAGATTCAGATATTCAAATCGATCTCCACCATCTGCACCATCGTCCACTAAGGTGAGCTCCAATTATAAATATAAAAAAAACACTTAAGTTGTTTTATTATATAAATCATATTAACCAATAAAATGTTGTACAATGTGAATCTAAAATATTTTACAATAAGATCCTATTTATACATCCAAAAAAATTTCTTAAGTAATTAAGATAAGTATAAAAAATTACTAATGTACACTACTAGAAAAATGGGTTTTAGACACAGACCTTTTTGCAATGGTTTAAAAATCGTTGCAAAAAACATGCTTTTGCGATTGTAAAAAAACCCGCCACGAAATCCTTTTTTTTTTTTTTTTTTTTTGCAATACGAAGTGGCTGTCGCCAAAAAATACACTGGATAAATACTATTATTAGAGACGGATAATCTGAAACTGTTGCAAAAAGTATTATTTTTTACTTTTTATTAATTTGCGACGACCTTTCAAATTGTCACAAAAACTTAATCCCCTTTCCGCCGCTACTACAATAATACACAAAGGCCCTGTTTGGTAGAGCTGTGGGAAAGTGCTTATAACTTATGCTTAAACAGCTTATACCTTATAACTATGAATATAAGCTGATTTCTGACTTATAAATTAAGCATCTCTTGCCCCACTCAAAGAATAAGCTGATTTCTGACTTCCAAAAAGGTATAAGCTATAAGTTATAAACTATAAGCTAAACCAAACACATCAAAATAGTTTAAATTAAGCTAAAAATTGAAATAAGCAGGTTTTAAACTGCACCAAATAGGACCAAAGGCCACAGCTAAAAATTTAAAACCATTGCACTTTTGTGTGATAATAAAAAAAAGGAAAAAGGTTGAGGCCTCGAATTTGCCTCGAAATCCTTTTTTTTTTTTTTCAAAGCTGTGTTAGTTTGGTTTTTTTTTTTTTAATTTTTTTTTCTGTCTTTTCTTTATAGGGGTGATTATATATAGGGGTGTGCTAAAAAATTAAACATTTTATAAGTGAGTTGGGTTGGACTGATTGGGTAATAAAATTGACTGATCAATTTTTTTTTAATTTTATTTAATTTTATTTGTTAGGCTGTGTTCGTTTTTTTTTTTTTCTTAATTTTTTTTAAAGGTAGTTATGTGTAGGAGTGTGTCAAAAAACTAGACATCCTGTACTAACTCATTGTACAAAATTATACAGAATTAACGAATTTTAATCAACAGTCTGACTGATCAGTCAATTAAGTTGGACCGATTAAGTGATAAAATTGACTGATCAGTTAAGCTATTAGTTAAATTTTGTTAATTTCATATAATTTTATATGATGAAATGGTGCAAAATGTATAATATTTTATATTAGACTTTTAAAAAATATATATTAATACACACAGCTGTCGGAAAAAAAAAAAAAAACCGGCATTCGAGCCAAATTCGAGGCCTCTACACCGAGACCCCAACCACTGCTGTAAAAAAAAAAAAAATGTGTGATGTAATTTTTCAGCAGCCCACACCCCCCACAAACAAACAAACAAATAAAAAAAGATTCCAAACATGTGTCTCACATCACTCCTCTCTCTCTCTCTCTCTCTCTCTCTCTCTCAAAACCCTAACCTTAAGTCTTCTGCATATCCTTGATCGGACGGCATTCGTTCGACCAGAGGCGGCGATCGACGAGCGGCTGTAGTGGCAGCAATTGGCGAGTGACAACGGCGACTGAGGTATATTCTTCTATTCTCTTCTCTTTTCTTCTTCAATTATTTTCTTATTCTCCTACTATTTTGCTAATTCGATATTTGTTGAAATCAGCCGTTGATTTTCGTTGAAATCAGCCGTTGATTTTCGTTGAAATCAGCCCTTGATTTTCGATTTTTGTTGAAATCAACCCTTGATTTTTGCTCTCTCTCTCTCTCTCTCTCTCTCCCTCCCAATTTCAAACCCTAACTATAATTTTCAGTCTCTCAGATCTCAGCCCCTTCTTTGTTCAACCTCTCAATTCTCGCCATTATTTCGTTTTTGGTTAAACATTTCAATTTTTGAGTTACATCCATTTTTTATTTGCAACTGTAGATATTCCTATTAGACTTAAAATGCTACTTTAGTTGGAAAAAATGATATTTTTCATTGGTTTTCTTGGGGTAATTCTTGTGCATGTGTGTTGCTTGTTAGGAATGAGTTGGATTTTGGTGTTTATATATATAAATGTGTAAAAAAAGGATTCCTATTTTCATATATCAGTTCTTGTTCGTATCTCTCTATATCTACTTGTATATAGAAGAATAATTTATCGATTTTGTCTTCTTTGGTTAGTGTTTTAAATTGAATAGCTATACCATGTTGTTGGATAATCTTTGAGGAGAAAATTTAATTAAACTAGTTCCACAAATACAAAGAATAAATTAGAGTAGCAAAATTCATTTTGGAAGATTTACGATCAATTTGGTTCACTGTGAGGGAATCAATTTGGTTCACTGTAATGGTTCTCTGTTTTGGTGTTTCTAATCTTTTCAAAAAAAAAAACAAAAACACAAACAAACAAAAAAACTTCAATGAGAAGAAATGTGGTATGGAAATACTATGGTTGGTTAGTTTTGTTACATTTTCTCTTATGAATTTCTTATTGCCTCCAGTCTTAACTAAACTAACTAATTGTATTCACTCTCTGCTAATATGCAGGAAAAGCTTCGGCAGACTCGTGAATTATATGCCACGTTTAATGCAATGTCGGAGATAAAAGAATTGATGCTAAAGAAGACTTCTTTGTTAAACTCTATAAGTTCACAGGTATAGGCAAAGTAGAATAGAATAGCATTAACTTGCCCTATTATTTTTTCCTCGTGTTTGTGCTTGTGAATCTTAGATTTGGATCTTGTCAATTACAACTGTTTACTTTTATTGCCATATTTTACTTCCTCGTCTTGCTTTCTTTGTTGACTGACTGACCTTAGATGCATTGTTCCTTTTGGATTTTAATTTTCTTGACTTGTTTTTTTATATTTGTTTTTGGTCGGCAATTCATAACATTGATGTATTTTGCACATTATGATGATCCCATTTTTAATGTATTTTTAATTATTTTTTTAGTCAACCAAACATGGGAATTGACATTTTGATGGAATGGCATTTTATTCCACTTCATTCCAGTGATCAGTGTACCAAACACTACCTTAATTTTTCAACATTTCCTTGTGAAAATCTAAGTAAATTGAGTGCATCTTCAATAATCTTCAACCAAATTTTGAGGAACTGTGTGATCTTATCAAAATTAGGGTGGCCATTTGGGTGAAGTCTCAGTTAAAAGGGTATTTTTATTCAGCTAATGAGATGGTGCATAATTTGTGGTAGGTGAGGAGGAGCATTGGATCTTCAATCAGGCTGTAGAAGTTTTCTCAAATGGGAGTGAGCTAGTTGGAGTTTGATCTGGTTTTGTGGTATGCTCTTCCTATGAGTTGCTATGCTTTACTTAGTGCTTTGGCTGAGTACAGTGTAGTTTGCTTAGTTTTTGCCTGACTTTATTGGGTTGTTGTTTTCATTAGTGTTGGCTATCTGATGTACTCGTGTTTGGGCCACCCTTTTGTCTTGTTGTTTAGTTGTTTTTTCCTTGCTCTGTTGGTTCCTCATCTTGATGGTGTGCTAGTGTGCTTACCGGTGCCAACCTAGTTGGAATGTTTGTTTAGGCCAATTCTCTCTGGGCACAAACAAGTCCACTTCCATAATTTCATTTAATGATATTAGGATCACAATTCACACAAATAGCATCTTCAATCATAAGCCTGCATTTATTTTATAAATTTAGTGAACAAAAAAGAAAAGATAATTATTTTATTTATTTATTTATTTTATGGAGAATCATTTTCTTCAATTTGGTGACCTTAAGGTATATGAGAGTAAAGAGAGCACGGGAAGAAATGATCAAATGACAATTGAGGCATTTTACCACTCTATATGTCAGGCACAATAATGACCACTATTTTTTGTCACAGCCTCATGTTTGTAAAATATTTGTATCTACAGGTTCACAAACTTGATGTAAATAAAACCTAAGTTATAACATAAATGTTTTGAAGAAGGGTTAAAAAGGTGTGGATGGTGGCTTTTTTGTCTCTTGAGAGGGAAATCAGAGCAATTTTGAGGATGTTGAGTTGGGAGATTCATAGACTTAAATCGGCTTTTTTGTTTTGTTTTAATTATTGGTTGGAAGGGAAGCTTTGTGACACCTTTTTTTTCTTTTTGTATGCACTTGTGTATACAGGCTGCGCTTCTTTTTTTTTTTTTTCCTTATAATGGAATGACTTATTTACTTTTTCATATATATATATACTAACCTTCCCACAGTTCAACATTGCATGTTTAACTGAATCCTCAAAACTGATTGAATTGAAAGCCTCTGTTTCTTGTTGTTTGACATGTGAAATACAGAAATTGATAGTCATGATGTAGTTTTGCATGAATGCAGCTAGCATCTTATGCTTCATGAATATTGTCTTTGCTCGAAACTATTTAGCCTAACAATTGTCTTGTTTTCTTGAAGCATTGATGGCATCATTTCTTCTGTGTCATGTGGTAATAGATTTACATTAGATGTTAAGATCAAGAGCATTTCGGTTGTTGGTGGCGCTGATGGAACTAGTCCTTCCAAGATGAGGGCGTAATTAATTATATTGTAAATGATTATTATTATTTTTTGTTTCTTTTTGCAAATGCTATCCATTTGAGTATGTAATGATATCTTCGTATATTGATATTGGAGTTTATTGTTGATACTAAATAATTAATTATATGTAATATATAAGTTTTTTTATTTGTACCGTCATTACTTTTGATTTGTTTTAGATACAAATTTGAGTTCTTGAATTATAAAAAATTATTAATATTGTTAGAGGATATTTTATATATTTTTGTAAAAGAATGTTTGGTTGGCACTGTATTATTACAGGGTACATACATATTATTATTCGTATATCTGATTTTATGAATGTAAATGTAAATGTAAATGTTAATGTAAATGTGGATGTAGATATAGATGTAGATGTAGATGTAAATGTATTTTATTTTAGAAAATATTAATAATTTGTATAGGGAATGAATTAATAAAATATATTTATTTTATGAAAATATGTTTTTTGTGACAGAAATAAACCGTGGCTAATGTAATCATTATTTCTTTGCATTATATTAGCGACGGGTTAACCTGTCGCATATATGTATTAGTTCAATTCTTTATCAACGATTTAAACTGTCATCAATACATTATTGATTTAATTCTATTTTTTTGCGACGTTTTAGACAATCACTAATAATGTATTTTTAATTATTTTTTTAGTCAACCAAACATGGGAATTGACATTTTGATGGAATGGCATTTTATTCCACTTCATTCCAGTGATCAGTGTACCAAACACTACCTTAATTTTTCAACATTTCCTTGTGAAAATCTAAGTAAATTGAGTGCATCTTCAATAATCTTCAACCAAATTTTGAGGAACTGTGTGATCTTATCAAAATTAGGGTGGCCATTTGGGTGAAGTCTCAGTTAAAAGGGTATTTTTATTCAGCTAATGAGATGGTGCATAATTTGTGGTAGGTGAGGAGGAGCATTGGATCTTCAATCAGGCTGTAGAAGTTTTCTCAAATGGGAGTGAGCTAGTTGGAGTTTGATCTGGTTTTGTGGTATGCTCTTCTCTTTTCTTTTTCTTTTTTCCTTTCCCCTCTGTTTTCTCTCTGAAATAGACAAAAGAGAAGATAAGAAGGAGAGAATGAGGAACAGAGAAGAAGAGAATGAGAAAAAAGTGCCGCTGACGAGACGAAGGCCTCAGTCGCCGACGAAGCCATTGTTGAAGAAACTTGAAAAGATTCGAAAAGAACACAGGTATTGTGCCAAAAAACTGGGTTCATCTTAAATGAATCCTTTTCCATTGTTTTAATCCATTAGGGACAATATCTTCTAAAAACACTATGAATTTCTTTGTGTCTTAAAGCCAACAATTTCTTCTTTTTTCCTCATTTATGGAGTCCCCACAACATGAACCAAATAAATCCTTACAGGACTAAAAAATGTAGGGAGATGAGGCAGGTTTGATCTGTGTATACATAGATCTATATATATGTGTGTATATATATATATAACAAAGAGAGAGTGAGAGCCATCATCACAGTTCAAAAGGAAGAAGAAGAAGAAAAAGACAAAGACAGAGGAAGAGGAAGAGAGATAGAGAAAGTGAGAGAATGAGAAAGAGAGAGAGGTCAGGCCATTCGAGCTACGTAGCAGAATTGCTAATATTATTCGTACTCGGCCATACCCTATTGTCATCCCTATAAATAAGGAAAAAAGCTCACAGTAGCAAGGGCATTTTCGTTGAAAATGGCTTTATAATATGGCTTTATAAAATCTTATTTTTTTGCTAAATTTGAGCATTAATTAAGGTAGGACCTAAGTATTATTTTTAATGTTTTTAATTGGGTTCATGTTTAATGTCACGTAGTGAATACATCGTGTATTTAGTTTCTTAAAATCATTTCCGGATGAATGAGAATTCAATGCATATTTTTGGGTTCGTGAAAATGGCTTTAGGTGGGTTTCTTACACATTTGTAAAATATGCTTGTTCCACATTGGAAAGACATAAGGATTTAAATGGGTATATAAACTCTAGCTTGCTATACTTGGGATGGGCCCCAACGGGTACCCAAGTTTTGTGGAAAGGTGAGGTTATGGGTAAAGTGAGCTAGACCTATTGGACCCAAAACACACGTGCGCGCCGCCGCAGCCGTCCGTCCGAGCAGACTTAGGCGCGGGTGTGAAGTTGGGTTGGGCTTGTCTGACCTAATACTTATCTTTTTGGGCCAAAAACATTCGCATTTTATTTATTTATTTTTGAATTTCAGTTTCAAAATTCAAAATAAATCTGTCTAGTTTTTTCCTCCACCCGAACAGGTTCATACCTGTTAAACTCCACCCGAACAGATCTGTTTCTATTCCGAATAGGTTTTAAGTTTCTACCTGTTGAAACCTGTTCTGAAAAGCCACATGTTCTTCTATAAATAGCCTACCATTCCAACATTTCATTCATTCAATTTTCCCTAAGCATTTCATCTTTCTTCTTCCTTTTTCATCTTTCTATTTTCTGCATCTGTCTACCATTTAATTTTAGGAAGAAAACTAAAGAGTCGCGTTATAGTTTTGGTTCGCCAGACTTGAGTTTGTAGTGCTTCAAACCAAGTAGTAGTTGTTGCATCTTGGGAAGTAGACGCCATTAAATCTCAAAGTACCAGAGCGAAGGCAAAATCTACTTTAAGGAGATTGTGTCCAACACAAGCCTCAACTTAGAATTTTTGTAAGCAATTAATTCAAAATTTAATTTATTATTTTCTGGATTATTTATTTATGTTTTGTTGTTTATTTTATTTATACATTTAATTTACACACACACACAACCACTGAGGTGCTAACATTCCTAAAGCAAATTTTGTTTTTGTTTTTATTTTTGTGTTAGACAGACTAATATTTTGTTTCGGGAAATTAAATAGTAGTCATATACTGTTTAATTTCTTAAATAGTAGTAATATACTGTAGACGTCCCCGAACGTCCCGGGAGTGAATCTCCCCCCCTTCCGTTTCGTTCATATGGGCTCACTACAGTTCGGACTCAAAAGTCACGGTCATGTATCTAATCTCGCAGAGTGCGATGCAAGACCGATGAATCATCAAAGAGTCCAAATCCGGTAAATCATTTTTGAAAACAAATTTTTTGAAAGAAGTGCCAAACATGGACTGCTTTTCCAGATATAGAGTCGCCACCTAAATATTTTATTTTGAAAAATTTAGGAAACCCTGACTCGTTGCCTAAGGCCACGTGTCCGTCATCACCAAAGTTGCCTCGGCTCGGGAACTTGGGTACGATTGGGGAAAGTCACTTCGTGAGCACCCCCGCTCGCCCGATCAAAGATCGGTCTCTACTAATCATGATATCTACTTTTGAAAACATTATGCGTTCTTATTCCGGTTATTAGCCTAGATTTACTATGTGATGCGCACAGCATACAAGTATAGACTGGATCGCCTGAATTGGAACAAAACGTTTCATGTTTGTTTTTGAAAGTGGTCTGCTACTTACAAGTAGGCTTAAAATGCAGATTTTGCCACCCTCGGGTGGGCTTGGAAAACAAGGTGATTTGCCACTCTCAAGTGGGCTTAAAACTCACAATTGATGAATTGTTCCAATCCAAATAACCCAACCTTCACCCACAGGCATTCAGGCAGGTATACCACGTAAGCACGTAGCCTCATGGTAAGCATGCTATCATGGCAGTCACTTACACACATGCAAGGATGCTAAAGCATAAACACTTACCGAGTACTCCAAGCCAAAACAGAAGCTATGTTAGAAATCCATGCATGATCCTAACTATACAGAAATGCCTAATGCAACACATGCAAAAATGAAACTACAATAGGCTCGACTATTCTAAACATGGCATATGATGATGCTACAACTAGCACATATTCAATTTAAAATTGAAATATAAATGCAGTTAGTATGATGCGCCGAGCCAGGTGCATGCAATACAGATGAATGAATGCAAACATGCGAGCATAAGTATGCTAATTAAAATTTGTCCTAATCTAACCATCATAAGCTAGTAAATAAAAGGGAGAAAGACGTGGGGTTGGAAGACATACATCACACACACGCACACTTATTACAACATTGCCCTCGCTCGGAGGGTCCGATTAATATACAGTCCGAAAGTAATACAGTCCGAAAGTAATAACGAATTACAATTAATTATTACACAACCACTAACTAATTAACAAATTAGCTAAGTAAGAAAATAAACTGGCATGCAAATGGACAGCCCCGGCTTTGTTTTGGATGATAATGGATGCATGCATGCTCGATGCGCTTTGTCGGTAAATTCCATCGTGATGCCTTGTCTCGCCATTGTTTGCAGCTGATTTTAGGAACTTACACAAAGCTCCAGGAGGCTGAAACTCCACCTTGGGAAAGCCATCGACCAGGTATTGGCTTGGAAACCCCCTGCCGACCACCCCTCATGGTGAAAACCAAAAAAGGTGGTCGGCCTACCAGAAAACCTGGTCGGCCGACCACTTTCTGCCCCTGGACTCTGGTTTTTCTGCAAGAAAGGCAAGAAGGAGAGAAAGTAATGTATTTTCAACATATGTGTGCGCGACCACTCCTCTCCGTCCTTGCACAGGCTCTAGGGAGTGTGGCCCTCGGTTCTCGAGCCACCAATCACGCATCTCAATGCATGATGGCCGAGAGACCGAATTGCACGTTTTAATAAGACATGAATGCAAGTAGGAACATATGAAGCCAACAATTCTATCATAGATAATCAAGAACGTCGGGGACCGGGAATCGAGGCACGTTTCGTCACTTGGAGTACGAAGCGCCCCTCGTTTCCCGTGCTTGGACTAAACCCTATTCCAAGCACCATGCAAATGGAATGGCATGCACAATGCGACTAACATGCAACCTAGTATACGTAATGCTATGTACTAAAATGGCATACACAATACGTGTGATGTAACATGGCATACACAATGCTCTAAAATGCAACCTAGCATACGCAATGCTATGGACTGAAATGGCATGCACAATGCACGATGGACTTACGCCAACATGAGTGGACCTCAGCCACACTCACATCAGTGGCCATGAGATGGAAAAGAGACAACCGAAATGCGTGCACACGTGCACGTATACCGAGGACCGAACCTAAGGCATAAAATGCCACTCTATCAAAGCATGGCAAGGGATGAAAGATGGCATACAAACATGTAATTTCCAGCACTGAAACATGATGCTAAATGGTCCCGAAACATGGAAATATGGCACCGATGTATGAAATAAGCCCCGAGAC